TTCGTTTGTAAATAATGTTCTCGGACATTTTAAACATACTGAACGTGTTCATAAATGTTAATACTGACCTAAGCACCGACCACGTAGTGCAAGAATAATTTGAGATAGTGACGAACAATTATAATCATTGTATTTTTGTTTATTTAATACCAGCTGAATAACGATGATTCAAAGAATTTATTGACCACCCACCCGCTCAGTCCTCATTCCCTGTCTGCCATTTCGTAGTTAGCTCTTCGTTTTGTATCATAATCAGAAGGAAGAGTCGTTTCTTTGGGGGGGAGGTGTCGGTAGATTTACATAACTCTTTCTAAACTACATTTACTTGAGAAAAATTGAAGTATTTTCCAAACTTTAGATAGTTAAAAATTATCCAAAGTTATAAAATGTTTAGGACAAATCGAACGTATTTATGTGAAATTCAAAACAACATTTATGTCGTCATACATAATACAGTTTTAACACAAGAGAATTGTTTGTCAATTTGTCTATTTTTTAGAATTTATTAACGTAAAAGTGATATCAGTATCACTGCAATTTAAAAAAAATTAGGTTAATTTATATAATGTCCCAACAAGGGATTATTTTCATCTCTTATCCCCCTTTTGGTAATTTTATTCTGGGAACAGTGTCTACCTCTAAAAAGTCATCACTATACTCTATTAATTCCATATATTACTTCCATTGTGTTTTATGTATCAATATTTTGATATCAGAATTGCCACCTCCAGCTGACCTAAAGCGTTGCCATGTACACAAATGAAAATTGAAAATGAATATTTCCACACTGATCGTTGTCCATTCGTAAATGTTTACAAAACGGCCCTAAATATTTATTCTGCGGCTTTCCATTTCACGGAATTGACAGCTAATCCGCTAATAACACATCGCGTGGGGCGAGTGTTAAACACAGTGCGGGAGCGCACACCAGGCTCGTGAGCAGGCTCATTGCAACACCCTCCAGCGCATTGTGAGCTGCCGAGGGTAGGGTGGGAGAGCTATGAGCACGAAGATAACCCATTTGCTGCGGGTTACAGCTGATGGAAATTACATTTTTTGGCGATTAACTTAACGACAAAAAACGTATATACAGCGGTACGTTTTAACTCGTGAAGTTAATGAAGGTTTTCTCGCTCGACTTTGTCAGTAATTTTTATTGTATAATTTTCTGAAAAACGTTAATTATTTGGTTTCATTTCAAACATACTTTTTGTATCTCTCTTTCCTGAAATCTCGGCGTGATATGAAAGTATTTTCATTACGAGTTCGTCTTAAATTGGGGAATTTTAAAGGATATTGATTAGTGTTCAGTATAATTTACCCATATACATTTTTATAGAGGTTGACATTAAATAAGTGACGATCTTATTTTTAAATATTTTAAAAGGAGGCATCCCGAAGAATGAAAAAATAAAACTTTATTTTTTACGTAAAGTTTTTGTATGTTTTTCACCTCTTCCCAATGTTTAGTTCTTCACCAATCAACTACACATTACATTTGTAAATTTGAACCTTTCAATACACAGCTATAACTCTGGCATATTATCTTTTCCTTCTATTTCCGCTTACACTGACGTTGTTCCAATATTGTTGTTTCAATTAGCTGAATGATTTGATGATCATCGACGCAAAGAAAATAGTAAATAGGATACATTGCGAAAGCCACTTCGTGTCGCATTCAACCTTTGTTGTGAATTCTCCAACGATTAGTTCTCATTTCACATTTATTTTATAAATATATTTTTTGTTTCTATCTTCAATAAACATTATTATTTTAATTTTGAGCTCTTCTTAACATGCTGTTCACGTTGCGGTGTTACGTATCACACTGTGGCCAAACCTCTCAATTGTCATACTCACGCATTGTGTATGCTTAACTCTTGTTCCCTATCACATACATTTGTTGTTAACGTTCTGCTGGCTTTATTGTGTTATTCATTTCAGCTCTTGTGCACATTTAGATCGAAAATGCTGATTTCATTCTTCAATATTTCTGTAAATAATGAACCATTCTCCGTTTCGAATACACTGAAAGGCAAGCCTTTGAATCCTTAATGGACCAGTAATACACGAGGCGATTAATAGTCGCTATATCACTCATGAAGTTATATCACTCATGAAGCAGATAGGTAATAATAATGTGTGGAACAAAGGAAAACTCATATTATTGCCTTTGAATGCCATTCGCATAACGTTAATGATGGTTACTCTGGTACTGTAACTTATTAAGGATCGTATCTCCATGAAGAGGCAGGGAACACTCTGCGGACGACATTTTCATTGAAGTAAAGATTCAGTGAAATATCATGCAGTTTGAGTAGGTATTATACCCACACTTTAAGAGAATACGTCATTTTACCAACTGTTCGGAGACTTTTTTGCGGCTGATAATTCATAATAGCAGAATTTTTACACATGAAAATTCACATGACACATGAAATCATGACACTTGCCAATTCTCAAAGTTAATTAAAAAATCATTACGTTTATTACGAACTAAAATGTACATTAAGTGTAACATATCGAAGGTAATTAATTTTTCTTCCGAAATGATCATAATATGGCCGTTTTATATGACTGATAGGTAAGAGTAGTGTCGGATCTCATTGAGCAAGTAGGTCTCCTGCGTGGTACGGTGTTCAAAAGTATAATGAATAATCACACACGCACTCGTGCGGGTGTATGTGTGTGCATGCATCAAGACAAAAACATTTGAGAACGCTCACGTCGGCATCTTTGCCGACCATGGACCAGATTTCGAAACGCTTTCTCGGTGTTACCCGCACGTCTCATCATGGTCTCTTCATCCACGTCACGTCTTCCCACGAGTAACGGCTCCCTCTCCCCGACCTGACACGAGCTCCGGATTGGGAGACCTTCATCAAGCAGATCGCTAAACGACCCTGCTCCAGCGCACCTCGAATGCGGGCGGGGCGACCTCGCGCGTAACTTGCAGTTTAAGCGAGAAAACCCCCGAGCTTGTGGCTTCTTTATGCGCCTCTAAAGAGGTCGCTGCAAACAGCGCTCAGGCAAAACGCCTGCGTTGTGTGCATCGCTGCCTGCGCTTTAACTCGTCCATTTTTCGCGCTCTCGCTCCCTCTCCATGGGCAAATTATGCATGAGACGCCCGGACCGGTGCTGCTTTCTGCCACAACACGGTCGTCGGAGCAAAATCGCCTTTATGATTCATTTAAATAAAGAATTCAGGCTGACGATGCTGCCTACGAAGTCGCGTCCGATGATTTAGTAGGCAGGTAACGAGGCACCCAATAGCTCGTTTTGAACGTATTCATAGCCAAGGTAAATTTTAAATGACAAGTTTATTAATTTGACAGATTTTGGATTGACGCAAACGTCAGCATTTTCTATATTGTTTGCTTTTGTCGAAATAATAAACAGTACACTGCTAATAACTCGCGATTAAATCAGCCGTTTTTAAGTTCTTTCCGACTTCTAAATTTGATGTGGCTATTCATATTGTACATGCTTCATTCATCTTTTACATGCTCAAAAAAGTTCGCTATTCAGTCATACCTGAAAACGAAATTTCAATTCAATTTCTTATCACTCTCTATCAATTTCTTAACAAAATTGAGAGGAAACAAAATTAACTACTAAATTTTATGTGATCCAAAAGGACGTGGCAAACAATACATAATTATTGCTATTCATCTTATTTTATACTATTTCTCTCCGATTCTAAATTTTTAGTTTCAATGTTTTTGAATACAGGTGATTCAGTTCAGATGAAAAAATACAGCAAAGCGTTTCTCATTAAATTAGCAATAAATAATTAATTTTGCCGGTTTAGCCTCAGAAACAGATTCGTAGAGAAAAAGCTGATCGCAAATTCCCATTTTTCTATTATTTACCGTCATAAACATTACGTTACCGGAACATAGTGCTGGCGGAACATAGTAGATTTCCAAGCCTCAAAAAAGTGTTGTACGACTTGGCAGTGCTCGGGAGATCACAAGCAAACGGCAAGTGCATTTTAGTTCTGGCGACCGGCTGGAGTGGTGCGCGATCGGAGAGCCGCGTGTGATGTCGCGCAGTGGTAATGTGCAGCACAATTTCGTCAATTCACTAATTCCAGTATTTCGTCGTGTGTATGCGGAAAAAAGGAGATTTTTTCTTCAGCAATAATTAGAAATATTCTTAAGGCGCTCAGAAGAAACCGTTGGACATTAGTGAAGCGTTCCTCAGCATAATAGCACAAGAAACATTAATTATAAATCTAATTGAAGGGAAAACAGAGATTTTTCGATCTGAAAGGACTCGCTATTTATTAGTATAAAACACGGAAAATGTGTACGAGTTTCAAGTAAAGAATAAATGGCAGGAATATACACAATGTACTTTGTTCGCTTCATAAAGTGTTAATTGTGTTTCATAAGATAATATTAGAATATTTTAGTGACTTGCAATTACTCAAAAGGTAGTACAATTAAAGTTTTTACACGTAATGTTTTAGGAAACGGATAAAATTTAAAGTGAAATTTGAACTAATATTTTATTCAAACAAAATTCAGAACAAACTGCAAGATTTAGTTATTGTTATTTCCCTCTATTGCATCAATCAACACGTTTTCTGCGAATGAGCAACGCACTAACTGTGCATGTCATTACTTTTTCCTTAGTAGCGTGACGTGCATGAGTTATCTGCTTTGGATTGCATTTGCGCATTCAATGTTCTTTAAACTCCTTCTGTGTTCGGTGTAATGTCCATTGTCAACTAATATTAGACTCGCTTTCCCTTCTTTCTCCCAACCTGCCTCTCTCCTGCACTTACTCCTTCCGTTCTGTGACATCCATCTTGATACTTTACATCCTTCACTGCGGTTCCAACGGCACCGTTTCCTCTATCTTGCTGGATTTAATTATACTCGTCTGCATTACTCTTCCCGGCTTCCTCTTGCTCTCTGTAATTAAACTATCCTCCGTCTCTCGTTCCTTGGTCTCTTCTCTTCTTGCACGTTCGTTGGCGGTCCTTCGTCGAGGCCCGGTCCGTGGTCCGTGCGCTGATTGCATTTGCGCACGTTTACGTCGGGTCGTAAAAACCCTTCGACGCGGGGCGTTTTCCCTCCGACGCGACCTCCTCGATTTTCCATCCTTTCTGTCACTCACACGCGCTTTCCTGGAATTTATGTTATGGCGTTCATTGATGTCACATAAATGCGTGTTTCACAAAAAAAATCCCCACTCCATGATATCTTCTAATATCTTATACTTCGATGTCCCTTTATTGAAAAACAATATACGTCACGATATTTTCGATTTAATGTCTCTAATGTTTGTCATATTCTGAATCATAACTAATTTTTAATGTTTTAAATATTTTGTTTCATCGCTTTGTGGTTTGAAAAATTGTTCATTTTTCTAACACATTGTTTTAACGCCATTAAAATTGACATTTTATAATTTTAAATGGTGTATAATATTTATTCTTCTAAATATTAATCTTATTCTTCCTTTCGCTTACGGATTTTCGCGTTTAAAAAATCTGGTTCTTCTCTTGGACAATTTTATTTTTGTTTCCGACGCATTGTTTCTACGCTTTGGTTTCCTGCTTCGATCATATCCTATCACACCTAATTTTACTTTGCTGCTCCCATCCACGCCCCATGATCGGATCATCCGCTCCCACTTCACTGGAATCAAATTTACCGCTTTTTACCTTCCGCATGCGACCGCACACAATCGCCTCCTGCCGTACTCAACTGCGTTCGATCGCATTTGGGCGCGCCCGGTCTCTCACATTCGAATCCTATTGGGTCACGCCCAACTTCCCTTCCGCTCGCTTCAACCACGGACGATTTTCCAACCCACCGTTCGTCCACTTGCTTACGTACGAATCCACTTGCCCACATGCACACCCACTTACCCATCCATCCACTTACCTGTGCATCCATAACCCTCGAGTCTCACTCTTCAACTCTTCT